GGGATTCCTGCGTTCTTATTCCCCACTACTCCCCTTATCCAGCTTGGTTGTGGTAAGTTCTTCTTTGGTCATCTCGTTCGCCATGTCTTCCCGAATTGAGAAGCGTCCTGCCAAGTCTTCCGTTCGGCGGCAAGCCTTGCTAATTCGTATCGAACAGTTTGGTTCTGCTGGCGTTCCTTGCCTACGTTGTTCACGTCGCGCTACTCTGTGCAAGAAGCTTGCGGGTTCCGGAAAGTGCTGGGAGTGTGTACGCAGTTCCTGTCTCTGCGAAACGATGGACACAGATACTGAGAGTTGGTTTCCCTCCCTGGTTCCGGGGTCCCGCTAACTTCTTTAGTGGCGCAAGTTTTCGAGGAGCGTGCTCGGGTACTGCACGAAATCGAAGAACTCTCGGATCGATTGATTGAATTACGCAAGAAGCGTGATGCTTTGACGGCGAAGGGTCAGGAGTTGGTTGGGCGCAGTATGGCGGAGTTAGAAGTGTTAGAGGCTGAGGAGCGGGCGGAAGAGCAGGCGGAGAAGCAGGCGGAGAAGCAGGCGGAGAAGCAGGCGGAGAAGCAGGCGGAGAAGCAGGCGGAGAAGCAGGCAGAGACGCAGGCGGAGGGTCGAGCAGCGGAACCCGCTACTTCCTCTGCCGTCGTGCCTGAGTTCGATTGGTCTTTGTTGGACGTGTCCGACCTGCCTGCCTCCTGGCTACACAGTCCTTCGCCTTTGGCCGGTCCGGGTTCCTTCGGTGGAATTCTTCCAACTTCTCAGGGCAGTTCAAATTCTTGATGGGTTCCCATGTGTTGTCTTCGGGACCGAATCCTTCCCACTTGATGAGGTATTCCAGTTTCCCTTCCTCGTTCCTTGAATCTAAGATTTGTTCCACATCCCATTCTTCTTCCTCGTCCTCGATGCTGACACTGGTATTGATCCTAGCGTTCTTTGGTGCGGGTTCTAGCAGCGATACGTGGAATGAGTGTGATCTTAGCTTCATGGTGTCGGGAATGTCCAGTTGAAACACTACGTCCGAGATTTTCTTCTTGATTTTGAAAGGTCCCACTCGTCGATCATCGAGTTTTTTGCTGGGTCGCTTCGTCCTAAGGTTCCTGGTGGATAAGAGGACTTTATCCCCCTCCTTAAAGCGAGGTCCCTCGAGCCTTTTCTGGTTGTAGTAGCGGCCCATCTTCTGGCGCACGAATTCCAACTCGTTCTTGAGTTTCTCGTGAAGCATGTGCAGTTTTTGGGCTTTGACTGAGGCTCTGGGAACATTTGAATCGGGTCCTTCCAATTGTTCCATCTCGTATCCGTAGTTTGCGAAGAAAGGTGTCACCTTCGTGGTTTCTGTAGGTGCGGTATTGTATGCCAATTGTGCCGTTGGTAGTAGGTCTACCCAATCGCTTTGTTCAAAGTTGACATAATTCCTCAGATATTGTTCCACGATCTGGTTTATCCTTTCGGTTTGTCCATCCGTCTGGGGGTGATAGGCCGTTGATAGCTTACTCTTGGTACCGAGCTTGGTCATCAATGCCTGCCAGAATTTGGATGCAAACCTGGTGTCTCTGTCCGTGATCCATTCCTTCGGCCATCCGTGTACCGAAGTGACGTTTCGATAGATCACGTCCGCAAGCCGTTCTGCTGACCATGTCTCCTTGTATGGCAGGAAGTAACTCCATTTGGTCAGCCTATCCACCATCACTAGGATGCTGTCGTACATGACTCCTGTGGCGGTGTCGGTGGATAGCGGCAGCTTGGTAATGAAGTCCATCGTTACCGAGCTCCACGGTCGTTCCGCGACTTCCAGAGGTTCGAGAAGTCCGTATGGCTTGTGTCTTGCAACCCTGGTTCTGCTGCATCGCTCGCAGGCCTGCAATGTTCGAGCCACCGCATCTTTCAACCTGGGAAAGTCGTAGTGTTGCCGTATTCGTGCTATGGTTTTCGTGATACCCATGTGTCCTCCAATCTTGGATGCGTGGATATCCTGGATGAGCGCTTCTTGCTGCTCCGGCCATACATAGGCCTTGTCGTGGTACCATAGCTTGTCGTTCTGGAGGACGACTCCTTCCTCCGGATTGTCCTCCCACCTCCGTCGCTCTTCGGGAGTGGCGGTGGTAGCTTGATAGTTGGGGCCCTGTAGTTCGGCCCAGTAGACGGCGCAGCACTCTACCCATTCCTGTAGTGGGTGTACGAGTGATCCGTCCGGCTGTTCCTGGAACAAAGGTGCAGAAGCTTCGGCTGCATCTTTCACATGGTCCGCCCGTCGGCTGAGCGCATCAGCCCGAGCGTTCTCCGATCCCTTCTTGTAGTTGATCTGGAAGTTGAACTCCGATAAGAACTCTGCCCACCGTGTCTGTCGTCCATTAAGTACCTTCGTGGTCGTGAAGTACTTAAGGTTCTTGTGGTCGGTGTAGACTAGCACTTCCTTGGTGGTACCGCTGAGATACGGTCTCCACTCTTGGAAAGCCTCGATGATAGCCAAGAGTTCCTTGTCGTGAATCGGGTAATTGCGACGAGGTCCTTCTAGTTTCTTTGAAAAGAATGCTAGCGGGTGTAACTTCCCCTGGTCGTCGCGTTGTCCCAATTGTCCTCCGATGGCGTAGTCGGACGCATCGGTCTCAACCTCAAATTGCTTGCTTGGATCGGGAAGTTTCAGTACAGGGTCTGCGGTGACTGCGTCGCAGATGGCTTGAAAGGCCTCCTGTTCCTTCTTTCCCCATGTGAAAACAGCTTCTTTCTTGGTAAGCTCGTACAGTGGTCTGGCAATCTTCCCATAATCGCGTATGAACATGCGATAGAAGTTGGTGAACCCTAGGAATCCGCGTACATCGGTCGCGTTCCTGGGCACAGGCCAGTTTCGTACAGCTTCCACCTTGCTTGGTTCCATTCTGACTTCGTTCTCCGAGATCAGATACCCAAGAAACACGGTTTCCTTCACATGGAATTCGCTCTTTTCCATGTTGACCGAAAGGTTGTGCTGGTGTAGTGCGTCCAGTACCTTCCTTACGTGCTCCTTGTGCTCCTCGAGGGTCTTGGAATAGATGAGAATGTCATCCAAATAGCAAATGGCGAACTTGTCAAGGTAGGGTCGAATCGCATGATCGATGACGGATTGGAATGTCGCAGG